GGGTAATGTGATGGGTTGGATGTGATGTTTTTGTTTGTTGTGGCTAAAACACATTTTGTCTTTTGTGGCTAAAAATAGCCAAAAAAACCACAAAATCCCTTCCCAAATGGTGCCTTCCCATCCACCAGCTTTTACCTTGATCATTCCTAAAATGACGCCAAACCTGCTCGCTTATTCTTTCTCAGAGAACTTGCAATCAACAGTTTAATTTTTCAACAGACCCAAGGGTTGGGTTGGCCCACTTGCGCAATCCTGCGATAAAATCGGCACATTTGGGTTTCGTCCGTGATTGGATTGAAAGCCCATTAATCTCCCCACTAAGTACGCAAGCTTGACTAAAACGACTTGAGGTCGGACCAACCCACGAATGATGAAGACCTAGCTATTTCTAGCTTTCGCAAATGTTTCACCCAACTGTTGGCTACCTTCCCCAGAATAGACTTTTCTGCTCTGCACATTCGAACATCTGCAAAATGTGATATGGACAATTAAAGTTCTCAAACAATCTTCTCATTACCAAATCTAAGTCCAAATCGCATCCAAACCACACGGCGCTGCTCTAACTACACTGAACAAAAGAAGATTGCTCAATTGTTTCCGAATTATCAAAGGCAAATGAGGACCAAGATGTAAGCCAGCCACAGTGTCGTCTAAACAATATTCTCCTCGGTGGCAAGACGTTTACAACAAACTCTCCCACCAAAAATTTGAATTTAGAGGAATATTTAAGTCCATAACATTTTCCAAAAGCCTTTGAGGTACGTTAGAAGAGGGGGATCTTCTAATTTGCACAGCACCCAATCCCTACCCTAATGCATACACTTAATGATATTATTTTTATTACAAATTTTATCTCTAAGTGAAATTACTATTTTAGACATCAATACCAATTCAAAATAAACAACGATTCTCATTGCACTCCAGACACACATTCACATCAACGTTGAACTAGTGAAGCTATTGAAGCTCCAAGTCCATTGGTCACTACTCCTTCTTCGCATACTCGATTTCACATTCCATCCTCCACATTCATTCTCATCATTTGAAACGCCTTCAGAGCTTCCATTCATTAGTTCACACACTAGAACCAGCCACATTCTTGATTCGTAGCTTTCCATTAGTTTACACACTAAATCTCATCTTCATTCATTATTGTTATGGAAGATTTCTCCTCTGAAAATTCAGATTTTCAAGAAGAAAAGAAATGTTATGAGAAAGATAGCCAAGGAAATATGAGTTTTGGCAATGTAAAGTTTTTTTTTTTTTTTTTTTTTTTTTTTTTTTTTTTTTTCAACGTCGTTCGGATACACTAGGGTCGAAATATATCAATTTATTCAGGCAAGTCTACGACCAAAATATTATGTAATTTTCGAAGTTGTCGTCTTGAAATAATTTAAAATTTGTAAACGACATTAGCTTCCGAACTAGTAAAAATAATTCGGACAACTATATTGAACCGTAGCAATTTGTTCGACACGTACTTCTGATGAAGAAAATTTTTTTTCCCCATTTTTATATTTCCAAATTTGTAAAATTGCATTACTAAATTTTGTAGTTTTTGATTGCAATTTGTCTTTATAATGCCGTTTCAAATTTGTAATGTTGTAGCAAAACATGTAGGAATATGAGTCAATAAGAAGTCAGGTTTGCCGCGGATAGTGTGTTGGATTACACCTACTCAATTCACAATTTGAAACATGTTCACTCTACGAAATTATAATGATTGTGTTTTGAATTACTCCAACAAATGTAAATGTTCAATAATATTTTATTGAGCTTTGTAGGTATTCAAAAAGTAAGGATGAATTGGCTCAATTGGGTCGTGAAGTTGGAAATGAGAAATGGTTTGGTCATTGTAATCAAAACAATCAGACTATGGTGGAGGGAAAAAAGACCAAGGATGTATCTTGCTTGTGAGAGGAGTGGTCAATATAGAGCGACAAAGAAGTTTAAAACATTGATGACAACAACACATCAAGAATAACTAGTACGACAGAAGCGTGTTGTCCTTTTTGTATGAGGGCTCACAGGTTTACCAACAATGATGAATGGAACATTGACCGTAGTATAAGCGAATTGGCATAACCATCTACCTGCGGAAGCACCCTTGAGGGACATTCATATTCGAGAGGCTGCCAAGGATGAGAAGCATTGTTTAATGGATTATGTCAATAAAGCATGGTTAGGCCAAAAGAAATCCTAGTAACCTTGAAAGCAAGCGAGATGCCCTCAATTGTAAACACACTTAAAACCATTTTTACATGTATTCCATCCGAAACAGGGTGATCAAAGAGCTGGAAGATTACAGATATCAACACTTATTAGGTGAATTGGCCAAGGTATAAATTACATGAGCTTTCGCATCGATGTGAAGAGTCCACGATGACTGTGACAGACTTGTTTTGGGCACATCCTACCAAGTTTGACTTATTTCGGTCTTTCCCATGTATATATAATTATGGATGCACATTAAAACCAAACCATATATTGTTTTCCTCTTCTTGAAATTGGCGGGACGTGACATCAACTGAAATGATTTCTCTTGTAGCTTTTGCATACTTACAGTATAAGAGGGCCAATAACTATGCGTGAGTGTTAGCTACATTGCGTGATGTCATGGATGGATTTTGTTTTTCCAGCGATTTTATTGGCACTGGGCAGAGAGCTAGCCTTGATGAAATGCCATACATAAGGATATTCCCGATGGCGACATTTATTATGTCGTTGGCATATCAATAAGAATGGTATTGACCAATGCAAGAAAATGTTTTGAGACACATTATAAATGGGAGAAGTTCAACCAATGAGTGGAACTCTTTAGTGTAATTCATCTTCTGAAATCAATAAAGATGAGCGTCTTAGTCATTACTTAAGGAATTCAGTAGTCTCCGATGCAGTCAACTACGTCATGGATACTTGATTGGTTCCTTACAAAGAGAAATTTGTGGCGCATGGACAACACGTGTATGTTTGTGGCAATGCTATCAACCAACCTGTAAGATTACTTTTGTTCAATAAGTTATTAATAAATGCGCATGTACTTGATTTTATTTGACTTACATGAATTGAACGGGCTGAAGAGTGCACATACAAAATTAAAGAACATTGGGTTCAATGTCAAATCTCATTTCCGGCATCATTTGAGAAAATAACACAGTCTGGCTTGAGTTCACACACTGATATCCCAAGGCTTCATTTGAGAAAGTCTAATGTTGTGCAACCATCAATTCAAACCTTCTCAGTTCAGGGCTACGGGGTAATGTGGTCTATCTTTGCATTAGAGTATTTGCTTGTAGAGAGTCACGAGAGCCACTTCCATTGGTATTGATGCTGAAGCTTGTGGATGCGTCCTTCGCCATCACTCATGTTTACCTTGTGCACATGAGATTGCCTGACTACATCAGACAATGATTGTCCTATACCACTTGCTAACTATAGACACTCACAGTGGAGGCAACTTCATATCTTCATATGCAACAAAGAAGAGGAAACGGAGGTGACTTGTCATGCAGAAGTATACGTTGTTTTTGTGAAAAGTCAATTAAAAAGTGATAGAACCATGTGGTTGGAGCTTTTGAAGAAGTTGAAAGAGATTGTATGTCCGGGAAGCACTTTTCTTGTTGAGCTGGAGGTGAAGCCCAAAACAACGTCCTTACGGGATCAATAAGAAAGAATCAATGTTTCTACCTGCCATGACCGTGTGCATTTGATGTTTGGTGCAATCTGGACATGATTCCTTCTCACTTAAGGGACACTCATTCACACATTAAGCTTCTGCTTTGAAACCAAGAAGAAGCGACCTGTTAAGGAAAATGAGAAGGTGAATGCGAAGAAAAGGTGTACAATTACCAGAATAGTAAAACATTGGTGCATATGTTGGAATGCTTTTTTCCTTCTAGTTTGAAAGCCATACATTAAGTTTGCTAAGGATGTAGCTACAGGTGGGAATTGTGGTTTCAGGGCTATAGCTGCTTCAATTGGTCCCATACAGAAGATGTTGGGCTCAGTTGGCAGTGATCTTTTTGGTGAGCTGCACACACACAAAGAGGAATACAATTACACTTTTATGGTGCTACGAAAGGTTTGAAGAATTGACAAGCATTTGTTAGTACTTTGAAGACAGTCCCTGGCTACTCACATTGGATGACTATGGCTAGAACATGGGGCATCTTTGTTGCATCGTGCTACAATCTTGTGTTATACCACTTGTATTAACAGCAATGTCTCACCTTTTTTACCTCTAGTACCTTAAACTTGAATAGATATGAGATTGCCATTGGGTTTGTCACGGAAATCATTTCGTCGCAGGTATAAAGAAACTTATCAATTTGTGCCATGTACAGGGAATTATGAGGTATGACCACTAACTCAAGGTGACATTTGGTGTAGGTTTTTTTTGCAGGCCAAGCCATCCAGTTCCTTCTATAGCCACTAATTGGCGCAAAATGCATCACCCTTTGCGCTGTTGAACTGGGATGACCATATGTGCGCTGCAATCCAGCATTTCAAGGACATCATTCATGATACTGTAGCTACTCGAGAGACATTTGATGTTGTTGATGTCGAATGATACATTTAATGCATTTGACAATGTTAGAATTACGGAAGAAAAATGGATGTGTTTTTTGATGTGTAATGTGTTTTTTGTGGATGGATTGAATGTATCGACTGACACCACATAACAAATATCATTTCAATATCATCGGACCATGACCACACTAAAAATAAATGTCAACATGTCACCAAACTATGTATACCACAAAAGAAAATATCTTTTATAATAGGCATTAAAAGATGTGTTCAGTGCAATGTCAATCTTACAAACACGCCACATTAAAATTATTAACTGACAAATAACACATCATAGAATCAGCTGTATGCCTACAACTAGGCCTACGACTAGGCCTATGACTGTATTCAATGTCGGAAGGATGAAAAGCGACCTCCACTAAAACTAGGTCCAACAGAACTAGGTCCAGCTTCGTCAATGTGCTGACCTTTCAGGACATACGCATAGCCTCGATAGCCTGGTAAAGTCGATGAGGATGTCGAATCTCGTCCTCATAACCAGCCTGAATGATAGGATGTGCCAATCTAACATGCATGTGCAATACTCTGCATTTAAAAAGAATATCACAATTTAGGGAAAATATCAAAAAAGCAAAGGTATGTAGCAAATGGCATAAAAGGATAATATTACATTCGGCATGTTGGCTGAAATACTGATGTTCATGGACACGTGGTTCAATCAGTGTGCTCACATATAGGTGCGTGATATTTTTTTATACAATCCATGTACCCGGTACGCTATTCCCAAGCTGAAAAAAAAAAACTGGTGTGCTCCTCACTGCTCATAAGATACACGTGGTTATCGCCAAGCCTCCAGGTTCTAATCTAAGTATCTATTCATAACTGTATATCGTGCAGATATGTTGCCTCGAGTACCACGAGTCGGAGCTAAGTGATGTTTGACCCTGCAAACTGCTCAGAATTCTATCAGGATGATGGGTTCGACCACATCTAAGCTCGGATGACGCAAGTCACTCTCTAAAAACTTTACTGGTATAAGAGAGTAAGGGAGTGAGTTATATAGGTTCCCAGGAGCGTCCCACTAATATTACCTGGGACGCTCCCCCCGCGCCACGTGTCGTCCCCCGATTGGTGCTTCCTTCCGCATTTTGTGGCGTGTTGTCAGCTAGTGTCTCCGCTCCGCGCCCAGATCTGCGGCAAGGATTAAAAATCTAAAAAGGCAAGCGCAAGCGGGAATTTTAATTTAAACGGTGGCAAGCGCAAGCGAGAAATTATATAAGCCAAAATAATTGGGGATTTTATATTATTTTGCAATGGATCTCGGAGATCTAGGTCAATTTAGGTGGTTGATTTTAAAATACGAGCCGGATCTTTTACTGCTGCACTGGTCCTTGTTGGTCGTTGGCGAAAACAAAGCCAAAAATTTAATCCGGCTCATCAACGCTTTAGAGTCTAGCGAAAATGCTCTATTCACCGGTCTGAAAGCGGTTTCCGAATTAAAAACCCAGGCGATGGCTCCGTCCATGCAGACGATGGAGCGATGTGCAGACACACATAGGAATAGTGACACAATTTCCTAATTATCATAATTGTATAATTGTTACTATTCCAAAATAAATAATTTGTTCAAAGTCCTGTCCTGTTGTGTATTATATTGCATTACTGGGCCGTGCTGATCCTTGACAAACTTAATGTATGGTTTTAACCCAGTAAGGAAAGCATCAACATATGCACCAGGTTTCACTGTTCTAGTAATGTATGCTTTCCCTTTCGGATTCACCTTCTCCTTTCCCTTAACAGGTCGCTTCTTCTTGGTTTGCAGAGTAGAAGCTAATGTAGTGATTTGAGTGTCCCTAGGTGAGAAGGAATCATGTCCAGATTGCACGAACTCAAATGCACACGGGTCATGACGGGTAGAAACATTGATCTTCTTATGATCCCGATGACGTGTTTTGGGCTTCACCTCCGGCTCAACAAAAAAAGTGCTTCCCGAATATACAATATTTTTTAACTTCTTCAAAAGCTCCAACCGCATGGTTCTATCACTTTCATTAAACTTGTTCACAAACAACTCTACTTGTGCATGACAACTCATCTCCGTTTCCTCTTCTTTCTTGCATATGGAGATATGAAGTTGCCTCCACTGTGAGTGTATGGTAGCAAGTGGTATAGGACGATATTGTCTGATATAGTCAGCAATCTCATAGGCACAAGGTAAACCATAAGTGTGGTGAAGGACGCATCCACAAGCTTCCACGTGAATACTAATGGAATTGGCTCTCTTACTCTCTACAAGCAAATACTCTAATGCAAAGATAGACATATTACCCTGTAGCTCCCTGAACTGAGAAGGTTTGAATTGATGTTGCACAACAGTTAGACTTTTCTCAAATGAAGCCTTGATATCAATGTGTTGAAACTCAAGCAGACTGTGTATTTTCTCAAATGATGCCTGAAATGAGATTTGACATGAACCCAATTGTCTTTTAAGTTTTGCATGTGCACTCTCAACCCTGTTCAATTCAATGTAAGTCAAATAAAAATCAAGTACATGGCATTTATTAATAACTTATTGAACAAAAGTAATCTTACAGGTTGGTTGTAACATTGCCACAATACATACACGTGTCTGTCCATGCCGCCACAAATTTCTCTTTGTAAGGAACCAACCAAGTATCTATGACGTAGTTGACTGCATCGGGATAACTACTGAATTCCGTAAGTAATGACTTAAGACGCTCATCTTATTGAATTTCAGAAGATGAATACACTAAAGAGTTCCACTCATGGTTGAACTTCTCCCATTTATGCTGTGTCTCAAACATTTTCTTGCATTTGGTCAATACATTCTTATTGATATGCTAACGACATAATAAATGTCTGCCACTCAGGAATATCTTATGTATGGCATTCATCAAGGCTAGCTCTCTGTCAGTGCCAATAATCGCTAGAAAAACAAAATCATCCACGACATCACGCAATGTAGCTAACACTCACGCATAGTTATCGGCCCTCTTATACTGTAAGTATGCGAAAGCTACAGAGAAAGTCATTTCAGTTGATGTCACTCCCACAATTTCAAGAAGAGGAAAACGATATATGTTGGTTTTATATGTGCAATCCATAATTAATATACCTGGAAAAAACAGAAATAAGTCCAAACTGGTAGAATGTGCCCAAAACAAGTCTGTCACAGTCATCGTGGACTCTTCACATCGATGGAGCTCAATATAATTATACTTGGCCAATTCACCTAATAAGTGTTGTATCTGTAATCTTCCAACTCTTTGTATCACCCTGTTTCGATGGCGTACATTGTAAATGGGGGCATCTCGCTGTTTCAAGGTTACTAGGATTTCTTTTGGTCTAACCATGCTCTTTGACATATCTATTAACAATGCTTTCTCATCCTTTGACAGCCTCCCCGCATATGAATGTCCCTCAAGGTGCTCCGCAGGTGGATGGTTATGTAATTCGTATACTACGGTCAATGTCCATTCATCATTTGTGGTAAACCTGTGAGCCCTCATATCAAAAGGACAACCACACTTCTTCGTACCAGTTGTTCTTGATGTGTTGTTGTCATCATGTTTTAACTTCTTTTTCACTCTATATTGGCCACTCCTCTCACAAGCAAGATACATCTTGGGCCTTTTTTTCCCTCCACCATAATCTGATGTTTTGATTACAATGACCAAACCATTTCTCTTTCCAACTTCACGTACCCAGTTGAGCAACTCATCCTTACTTTTGAATACCTACAAAGTCAAATAAATATTATGAAACATTTACATTTGTTGAGTAATTCAAAACACAATCATTATAATTTCGTAGAGTGAACATGTTCAGTTGTGAATTGAGTAGTGTAATCCAACACACTATCCGCGCAAACCTGACTTCCTTGAGTTGACTCATATTCCTGCATGTTTTGTACAACATTACAAATTTGAAATGGCATTATAAAGACAAATTTGCAATTCAAAACTACAAATTTAGTATGCAATTTACAAATTTGGAATATAAAATGGGGGAAAAAAAAAATTACTTCGTTCAGAAGTACAGTGTCGAACAAATTGCTACTGTTCGAATATAGTTGTCCGAATTATTTTTACAAGTTCGGAAGCTGAATATCGTACAATTTAAATTATTTCAGACGACAACTTTCGAAATTACATAATTATTTTGGTCGTAGACTTGCTGAATAAATTGATATATTTCGACCCTAGTTATCCAAATGACGTTGGAAAAAAAAAACTTTTACATTGCAAAACTCATATTTCCTTGGCTATCTTTCTCATAAACATTTATTTTCTTCTGAAAATCTGAATTTTCAGAGGAGAAATCTTCCATAACAATAATGAATGAGGATGAGATTTAGTGTGTAAACTAATGAAAAGCTACGAATCAAGAATGTGGGTGTTTAGTGTGTGAACTAATGAATGGAAGCTAACAATGAAGGGTTTCAAATGATGAGAATGGAATGTGGAGGATGGAATGTGAACTGAGTATGGAAGAAGGAGTAGTGACAATGGACTTGGAGCTTCAATAGCTTCAACAGCTTCAACGTGATGTGAATGTGGTGTCTGGATGTGCAATGAGAATGTTTGTTTATTTGAATTGTGTATGATGTCTAAAATAGTAATTTCACTTAGAGATAAAATTGTAATAAAAATAAACATCATTAAGTGTGTGCATAGAGTAGATTGGGTGTGTGCAAATAGAAGATCCCCCTCTTCTAACGTACCTCCCCCTCTTCTAACGTACCTCCAAAGGCTTTTTGGAAATTGTTATGGACTCTAAAGATTCCTCCTAAAATTCAAATTTTTGGTGGAGAGTTTGTTGTAATCGTCTTGCCACAAAGGAGAATATGTTAGACGACACTGTGCTGGCTTACATCTTTGTCCCATTTGCCTTGATAATTCGGAAACCATTGAGCATCTTCTTTTTCAGTGTAGTTAGAGCAGGGCCGTTTGGTTTGGAAGCGATTTGGGACTTAGATTTGGTAATGAGGAGATTGTTTGAGAACTTTAATTGTCCATATCCATTTTGCAAGGATGTTCGAATGCGCAAGAGAGAAAGTCTATTCTGGGGAAGGTAGCCACAATTGGGTGAAACATTTGGAAAGCTAGAAATAGCTAGGTCTTCAATCATTCTTGGGTTGGTCCGACCTCAGTCGTTAGTCAAGCCTCGGCGTACTGGTGGGAGATTAATAAGGCTTTCAATCCAATCACGGACGTAAACCCAAATGTGCCCGATTTATCACAGGATTGCGCAAGTGGAGCCACCCAACCCTTGGGTCTGTGAAAATTTGGGTCTGTGAAAATAAACTGTGATGCAAGTTTCTCTGAGAAAGATAAGCGAGCGGGTCTGGCGATCATTCTTAGGAATGAGCAAGGAAAGCTGGTGGATGAGGAGGCACCATTTGGGAAGGGATTTTGTGGGCTTTTTTGGCTATTTTAGCCACAAAAGACAAAATAGGCTATTTTAGCCACAACAAACAAAACATCACATCCAACCCATCATCATTACACTCTTCTCTCACAAAAAAAGTCAAAAAGCCAAAAAGCCCTTCCCAAACCAACCTTTTTAACCCAAGCTAAAATAGCCAAAAAAGACAAAAAGCCAAAAAGCCAACCCACTTCCCAAACCAACCCTCAATTTCGACTACTTCTGTCCAATGATGGATCTAGGGGGCTGGGGGGCGGCCGCACTCTCAAAAATTTGAAAAATATCATATATTATACTAAAAATTTTAAAATAATTTAAAATTATATGCGTTTGGACCTCCAAATTATTTTTAGATTATTTTAAAATTATATAAAGTAACCCTTAATTTTTTAACCTATAGAATAGCTCTTCAAAATCATAGCCCTGGATCTGTCTTGCTTCTGTCCAGCAGGGGAAGCTTCGGCTGATCGAGTGGCATGTCGATTTGCTCAAGCTATGGGCCTTTCTAATGTCCAGGTGACAGCAGGACTGTTATTGAGCTGTGCGTTTCGGAGTCCACCATGGGATTGTGGCATTTGTATTCATGACATCAAGTCTCTGAGCTCATCTTCAACTTATTTCTTTGTTTGGATTCCTACGGAGGCAAATCATGTTCCACATTGACTCGCTTCCAACCATCTCAAAGGAAATCTTCCTCCAGATTGGGTTTGCAATCCTCCTGTTGCACTTTGGTGTTTGGGAAGTTTGGGATTGGGTTTTTTTTATTTTTTTACAAAAAGACAAATTTTTTGCAAAATCAAAAAAAAATACATCTAAACAAAATATCACATCTAATTCCATAATCATTTCAATTCTTCTCTCACAAACGTCACATCTAAACACAAAAAAACCCAACTATCTTCCCAAACACAAAAAAAAAATTTCTTCAATAATATTCTACAACTAAAAAAACCTACATAAAAACTCACTTTCCAAACACCCACTTTGTTGCTTGTTGATTTTCTCTTGTCGCTGTTGGGCATTTTCTTGTTAAAAAAATATGTATAAAAAGTAAAATAAAATTTAGGTATGAGATAATTATCATATTCAAAATATTTGTTAGTTGCATCCCTCTATTATATTTTAAATTTACAAGGAATTTTATTTTATGATACAAAAGTGACTATGATAAATTGTTTAAATTATACATTTCTATGTATATCATGAGTTGCCACTAATAATATTAACAACAAAAGGAGTTTGGGTTTTCTTAACTTGGTCATATCAATTTGAGAGAGTATTTTGATTTGATGAGCCTATATTGAGGTCAACTATGGTGATTCAAACTATTAATTTTTTAAGATTCGTTAAATAGAATATTTATACAAAAGATCAACATGATCGAACTTTTAATAATTATATATTTGAATCATATTTATATTACAAAAAATAGATAGGTATTTGTGAAACTATAATTGTTGTCTATTTTTTAAAAATAAATGTGTTTAAAATATATAACTATAAATATTCGGTCATTTTAATTTTTTTCATAAATATTTTACTCAATAATTTATAAAAAAATGAATAATTCAAATCACTAAAATCAGTCTCAAAATAAACACACCAAACTCAAACACACTCTAACTTGAAACAATCCAAACCAAACAATAAATAAATAAGTAAATTACATATACACCTTCTGAGATTTACTTAAAATATGAATTACCTCTTGTAATTTTGAAAATTATATTCTGCCCCCTAATGTTCTAATTTCATAACAAATAGCCAATTTTATTAATAAATTATGAAGTTAATTAATAGTTTTTAATGATGTTCAAAATTTATTTCGATTAATAATTCAAGTAATTTTATTATTGTATATGAGAGTAGTTAGAAATTTTATTTTTTTAATTAATTTTGTTAAATAAAAAATTCTAATAAAAGAATACATATAATTTTTTAAACAACAAAAAATAATATATATTTTAAACAAATTTTAGGTTGTGTGTTTGTAATTTACCCCTCATATTTCACTTGAATTCAGCAAGTGGCACCAGCATTTAATAGACAGAGACCGTCAAGAAAGAAACAACAAAGAGGGTAGGTGGGACTGGTGGGAGACCAAAAAAGGTAAATTGCAAATATATAGCGTTTGATATTTGATTAAAATATAAATCGTCTTCTATAGTTTTAAAAATTATATTTCTTGATGTTTCTTTTTTTTTTTTTTTATTCAAATTTTTTGACGTTTCTAATTTCATAACAAATTATCTATTTTATTAATAAATCATCAAATCAATTAATAATTTTTAATGATGTCAAAAATATGTTTTAATTAATAATTTAGGTAATTTTATTATTGTATAAGAGAGTAATTATGAATTTCATTTTTTTAATTAATTCTGTTAAATAAAAATTCTAATTAGAGGATATTTATAATTTTTCAAACCGCAGGGATAATCTGTATTTTGAAAAAACCTCATAAGGTGTATTTGTAATTTATCCAAAAATTAAAGTACAAGTTTACTAACCGTGAAAAATTACTAAATTGTGAATAACATATTGATAAATAATTAAATTTTGATTTTGATGGTTTTAATTCGTTAGTTGATCAAAAAAGGAAAATTTTAGGTTTACATAAAATTCATACAAAAATTTGACAAGAATAATTTGACAATATCATTATTGTAAATAAATTTATCTTCAATACAGTTTTGTTTTAAAATGAAATGTTCACAATGAGCCACATCATTGCGTATGAGTTTTTGTTCGTATAGCATTACTCGTTGAAAAATAATCTTAAATAATTATCAAGTATTTGCATAATGTATAATATTAATTTATATAATATATTTCGTATATATATAACACTAACTTTTATATAATATTTTTCATATATATAACACTAATTTGCAACAAATTTCATATTTTAGATATCTTTCACGCTTATTTTTTACTTTGATATTTCTTGAGAGGCAGGGATGGTCTTGAATTTTCACATAGGAACGAACATATACATACTAACAAAAATTATAAATAAAAAGTATGGATTATAATATCAATTTTTTACATACATATAAAAAGCGAAAATAAGATGAAAGCATATAAAAATAGTAATTATAAAAACAATCTATTCACTAAAGTGAGATATCTTGAGTTGTGTTTGACGCTCTTTCATGTCATTAAAAGTCTTTATGATAGAATTAAATAACTAGCTAATATATTAACCAAAAATAAATAAATAAATAACTAGCTAATACCTTATTTTATTATCTAAAAATAGGACTTGTTATCAATAATAGTTATAAAAAAATTATTAATTTTATTATATTTTATCTAATGTTTTTAAATTTTATTCTTTAATCTAATATTTTATAGACATAGAAAAGAAAATCACTCAAATTTTAAAAAAAAAAAAATCAAAAGGGAATGACCACATAAAATTTGTTTTAAAAAAAATACTTAGAGGAGTGAACCTCTATAATTTAGAGATAATTA